GGGCGGAGCGGGGCCTGGGGCCGGGCGGGCGTCCCGGGGCCTCTGCCCCCACGCTGCCCCGCACCCAGGGCTCCCCCTCTAGCACTGGCGGCTCCGTGTCGCCCGTCGTGGCTCCTGGGCCGAGGCCCAGCGGCAAAGAAGAAGTGGGAGCCCAGGCAGAGACTGGGTGCAGCGAGGACCGCTTCTGCTCTGGTCCCCAGGATGGATCTGAGTGGAGTCAAGAGCATCTCTCCCTGGCTCCCTTCTCAGTTGATTCCAGCCAATCAGCGTGCAGAGTCAGGCAGCGGCAGCGGCAGGAATGCTAAACAGCGGCTCCTTAAAGGAACAGAAGCAGCGGTGCCCCCAGGCTCAGCCCCAGCTTCCCAGATCTCTGGGGCACTGCCAACCCTAGGGTAGGGTGAGGGGCTTGGACCGCTGGAGAGCTCAAGCACACGATGTCGTACCCCTATATCACCGATTTCAGCCCGTCCCCAGCCCCACCCCACCCCACTTCGAAGAGGGAGTTGCAGAAAGATGCTCAATGGGTCCCTGGGCTTGCTCTGAGCTGAAACCACCAGAAGTGATGATTCGAGGTAGCAGAACCGACCAAAGGAGGTTGGAACGGGGTGAGGAAGGTGCTTTCTCCTACAAGAGACCAAGGAAGAGGGCAGCATACGAGGCCTGCTCTCCTGTCAGTGCCTTCTCCCCAGGACCATTGTTCTCTCATCCTCCAGGCCCCTGAAATGGCTGTGACCTCACATTCGACCTCCTTACATCACCAGCGAGGGAACTCCAACCCTAGAGTAGGCGGTAGCAGAAGACTGTAAGCCGTTGTCCCGGATCCACACACCCCTATCCCTGGTTATGTGGTTATGATAGTTACGATGGGGGATGGAGCTTCAGATTGCTAAGAGGAAAGGGTCCAGGACAGGAGAAGGGACGAGAAGAGACTTGAAGCAAGAGAAGCTATTCTGTGAGCTTGGAGAAGGTCTTGGGAATAACTATCCAAGGATATTTCCTTATCCTCTCCTGGCTCCAACTGTTGGGGGAGGGTAGGGGAGGCTGATGAGCCAGGAAGACTCTTTTTGTTCCTTTGGTTTTGTCTTTAGCTATCAATTATTGAGTCTTTACAAAGTCTTAAGTGCTTTACATGCAAACAAAAACCGTACCAAGGTAGTAATAGTATTCTTAGAATTTCATTAATGATAAGCTGAGGCTCACAAGTACTAACACAGCTAGGTAACGCAGCTGAAAGTGACTGAGTCAGGATGCAATTCCTTGCCATTTGGCTCCAAAGTCTACACTCCGAGCCACTCTAGTACAAGAGGTCCACTTAAATTCTAAGACCTTACGTCTGAGTTCAATTCAACAAACATTCACTGAGTACCTACCTACTTCGTACCAGACCTGGACATAGGTGCTAACGATAGAAATTCATCTTTAATTCAACAGATATTCATTGCAGACACTGTTCTAGGATTTGAGGATATAGCAGCAAACAGAACAAATTCTTATCCTTGGGGAACTTACATTTTAGTGATCGGACACACAAAAATAAGCACAGTAAATAAGTGAATTTTACAGTACATGTGGGGATAGGTGATGAGGGTAAAAGAAAGAGTGTGTCACGATAAGAGAGATTGGGAATGCTAGCAGGGGACACTGGGTTGGGATTTTTTTCTCCAAGTTTTTTATTTGTACCTTTTACTATGAAAATTTTCAAACATACAGACAAATTGAAAGAATTTTACAGTGAATAAGCAACTATCCACCACCTGGATTCTCATGAACATTTTACTGCACTTAGACATATCTATATCACATATCTATCCTCTAACTTTTCTAAGAATGAAAATTTATCAATATACAAAACCATTGAAAGGATAGTACAGTGAACACCAGCATGTCTTCCTTGTGAAGTCAACAAATGGTAGGTGATATCTTGCTGTATTTTCTCTATTCATCTCTATTGCCACTCTTTTCTTCTCACCTATGTGAGTGTAAGTTTCATTGAATTTCACTTCTAAATACTCCAGCATGCATCTCTTGGTCATAGAGACATTCTTCCATATCACCATAATATTATTATAATACTTAAGAAAAATAACAATACTCTCATATCATCTAACGTTCAGTCTATATTTGGAAGTTTGGCCAAATTTGCCCTTTTTTTCAGTACTGAAGATTCAACCCAGGGCCTTGTTCATGCTAGGCAAGTGCTCTAACACTGAGCTAAACCCCCAAATTGCCTGGGCTTGCCTCAAACCTGTGATCTTGTAGCCTCACCAGCAGCTGGAATTACAGGCACGCACCACTGTGCCTGGCAAATTTGCCTTTTATATTTTGAAAACAGAAGGGAAGTCTATTTTATGTATTCATATTTTTACTTTTTTTTTTTTTTTTGAGGTAATGGGGATTGAACACAAGGCCTTCCCCCTGAGCTACATCCCCATCCACACTTTCTCAAATGATTTTTTATTTGGGGGCAGGTTCTTGCTAAGTTGCCCAGGCTGGGCTTGAACTTTCCACCCTGACTCAGCCCCTTAGAGTGCTGGGATTGCAGGCATGTGCCACCATACCTGGCTTCATTTAATTTTTCCTTCCTTCCTGAGATCCCACAATTTCTTCTTTCATAATTTTCCTTCTGTTTTGAGAAGTTCTTTGGGCATTCTTGTAGAATGGGTCTGCTGGCACAAATTCTCTTAGTTTTCCTTTGAGAATGTCTTGATTTCCCTCTCATTACTGAAGGACATTTTCACCAGATACAGCATTCAGGGTTCACAGTTCTTGTCTTTAAGCACTTGAAATATGCTGTGCCGCTTATTCCTGGTGCCTATGGGTTTTGATGCGAAATACACTGATGTTCGTCTTGTTTTTTCCTATAGACCAGGTGTTTTTATCTCTCTTGCTGCTTTCAATTTTTGTCTTTAGTTTTCAAGAGCTTGATTATGATGTGTCTTGGTATGAATTCTTTGAATATATTCTGTTTGAGGTTTGTCGGGTTTCTTAAATCTGTAGGTTTCTGTATTTTGCTAAATTTGAGAAAATTTCAGCGATTCTTTTTTGCTTGTTTATTTTTTGAGACAGGATCTATGTAGTTCAGGCTGGTTTTGAACTCACTATGTAGTGCAGTCTGGCCTTCAAATTGTGGCTATCCTCCTGCCTCAGCCTCCTGAGTGCTGGGATTACAGGAGTGTACCACTGTGCCCTGCTCATCCATTATTTCTTGAGTACTTTTTTCAAGCTCATTGTCCATTTCTTCTTCTGGATCTCTAATAACATAAATGTTAGTTCTTTTATTATAATCTCACATAACACCGAGGCTCTGCTTCTTTCTTTTTTTAAAGCGTGTAGGCCGGGGATATAGCTCAGCGGCACAACCACCTGCCTGGCAAGCACAGGGTCCTGAGTTTGATTCCTGGTACCAAAAACAAAAGACAAAAAAATAAATAAAGTGTGTTTGCTCATTGCTATTCAGATTGGGTATTTTTTAATGCTCTGTATTCAAGTTCACTGACTCTTCTGTCCTTTCCATCTTACTGCTGAGCCCATCCTCTGAGGTTTTTAGTTTTGTTATTGTAGTTTTCTGTTCTAAAATTTCTATGTGATTTTTCATTACATCTCCTATTTTCTTACCAAAACTTGTTAATTTTTTTTTTTTAATTATATTTTTTGTCTTTTTGAGACAGGGTTTCCTTATGCAATTCAGGCTGGTCTTAAACTCGCTTTGTAGCCCTGGCTGGCCTCAAACTTGAAACAATCCTCCTGCCTCAGCCTACTAAGCGCTGGGATTACAGGCATGTGCCACCACACCCAGCAAAAATTTTCTAATTTTTTATTTGTTTTGAACTTGTTTAGAACTGCTCATTGAAACTCTTTTATGTTGGCCACTTTTGACCTTGTCAAATAATGGAAACCTCTATCATTTACATGTTGGCATCTGTTTATCAATTTTTCATTTAACTTGAAGGTCTCCTATTTCTTGGTATTATGAGTATCTTTTTACTGCATCCTAGGAATTTTGTTCTGAGACTCTGGATTTTATTTAAATCTTTTGTTTTGGGTAGGCCTTTCTGACACCATTATCATCAGAGGAAGGGGTCACTGCCTGGTTACTGCCAGGTAATGGTTAACGTTCAAGCCCTCCCATTGGCCTCAGTAGATATATCAGACAGGGGCTCCTCCTCATTGCTGAGCAAGGATGGAGTTTCTAGCTCCTTAGCGGCCCTTCACTGATGCCTTTCTGGCTGGGAGGGGTGGAAGTGCCTCTTTGCTGTTCTTTAGGCACCATGCACTGATACCACAGTCAGGAGGGAGAAGAGACGCTGGGAAGAGGAGAAGGGGAGAGCTTTAAACTCATTAATGCTTTCTGGTACTGAAAGTTTTAACTTCCCACTAGGCCTCCTTTTGCACTCTGATACCACCCAAGGAGGCTTTGCTACCCTCTGGGGATGGAGGTCTAGGTTCTCTAGTCAGTCTCTGCTCACACTACCCAAGACAGGTGGGGGAGCCTTGACAGAGTGAAAGTCTACATTCTCTCCTTGGCCTTTTTAGGCTTGGGGAAGCTATAGTTTTTATGCGGTATTTTGTTGAACTGGTTGTTGTTTATAACTTTTCGGTCTGGCTAAACTGGTCTTTTGGCCAGAGAGAACAGACCTTTGTTAGAGGATTTTATCCCATATATTTGCAATGACATTTCTAAGATGATGGTTTCTGCAGCACCCAGTCTGGGATATACAATGCAACAAGAAAATTCAGGGAACTCATCACCATGAGTTTCGGTCACTGTGATTCCAAGTCAGTCTGTCCTTTTCTCCTTCCAGACTCTTACGTTTGTTTTATATACAGTGTTCAAGGCTTTACTGTACTTAGTGTGAGGAATAGGGAGAAGTGTGTCTGTTCTGGTGGGGTCCAGAACCGAAAGTCCCCCATCTTTTCTTTTTAAAATTAACTATAGTCTGTTTTTGAAGAGTATCATTCAGTTATCTTGTAGAATATCCTACATTCTGGATTTGTCTGGTTTTTCCCTAATGGTATCATTTGTCTTGGTCTTCTATACGCAGTATTTACTGTAATCTGGAAATTAGAACAGAAGGAATCTTAAATAAATTGGGCAGGGTAGGCCTCACTGAGAAGTTGGCATTTGAGCAAAGACTTCAGGGAAGTGAGTCATCCAGAACAGTAAACCTAGCAAAGAAACGGCCAGTGCAAAGGTCCTAGGTAAAGTTTATGTGGCTTGTACAAGGAAGAGAAAGATGGACCAAGTGGCTGAAACAGTGTGAGGAAATGAAAGAGTACCAAGAGATGAGATTAGAAGTTTAAAAGGGAATCAGATTGCATAGGGCCCTGTAGACCATTGTATGGACTGCGGCTTTAGTTTTAGAGATTTAGGGAGCCATCGGAGGGCTTTGTACAGAGAACTAACATGATATGACTTGGTTTTAGCTAGATTGGCCTGGTTCCTTTGTGGACAACAGGCCACAGGGAACAAGGGTGGAAGCAGCAAGACTAGTCAAAAGCAATCAAGCTAAAAGGGGGTTGTGGCTTGGACCAGGATGGTGGGACTGGAGGTAATAAGTGACAGAATTCTGGGTATATTTTGAAGGTATAGATGGCAGGATTTGCTGATGGATTGGATACAGTGTAATCCCAAGAAATTTTTGTCAGAGCAACTGGGAAAGTAAAATTGTTATTGACAAGGATGAAGATGACTTAGGAAAGAACATGGGGGGAAAATGTTAGTTGTTCAGAATTGGACATGTTGAATTAGAGATGCCTATTAGACATTCAAGTGGATGTGAACTTACGAGCCCTGTTGCAAAGGTTCTCCAAGTTTGAGAAACGGAAATATAGAAGCAGACCATTCCAATACTTAGGTAAAGGGCTGTTTCAGAGAGGTGTACAGAAAAGCACGTTCTTGACATTTCTTGGGTAGGGAAGGACTTAAAAGAAGTTTCATAGAGGAGATGACATCCTTAGTTCGATCCTAGAAAGAGACTAGTTGTCATTAGGTGAGACACAAATATAGATCTGTATTCTTAGATCCTGGCATACAGTGGTTGTTCAGTCAGATCCAACCCAGTTACCAGTTGTGTGACCTTGGACATTATTTAACTTCTCTGAGACCCAATTTCTTTATTTATGAAATGGAAATAATCATAACACTTTTGTGATGATTAAATGTAGAACACTTAACACACCACCTGATACACAGTGAATTAGTGTAACTTACTATTGAATGAATAAATGTCTTCTTTAATGACCAAGTCCAGGCTAGACTGGTAGCCAGTCTTTACAACTCAGCCGTAGTTTACATGCTTAGCAGTTTGCAGGACTCCTTTCTACATTTTAAGAGTAGCTCCGGAGAAATCCCCCTATATGATAGGCCTTCTGAACTACTCTGATTGAGGAATAAATATTGCTAAGCCTGGAGTGACTGGAGAAGGCCAAATTGTCCTTACAAGTTTGTCCTGCCCCATCCCCTTTGACTCCTTCATCCTATCTTTCCTTTCTCCTTCCCGCTTTTCATTTTTTTAATGAATCTGAGTAAAATCTCTTCAGATTCATAGTGAGCTTCTCTCGTGCCCTAGGCTCTCTTGACACTCAGTATAGACCAGGCTGAGAAGCCTGGGAGAAGGTCACCTACACTGAGACACTTTGACACTTAAGGAAGCCGCCTCCCAACTGCCAGGGCGCTAGTCCAAGGGCCCAGGGACATAGACGCCCCCTACCGGAAGAAAGCAGCCCCCACGCCCCTGCAGGCGGCTGTGGTTGCTAGGCGACCGGGCGGCCTGAACTGAGACTGAGGCTACGGAGGTGTTCCCGGAAGGGATTTTAGAGGAGAAAAACCTTTTCTCTCTCCTTCCACCGCCTGTCCCGCCCTTCGGCAAATAGACGGGGCTGGGGCCGCGCTGCTGGCTGCTGTCTCATAATCTGAGCTCATTCTTAAAAATAGAGCTTCATCAAGTGACCTCAGTCTTTGTGTGTGGACCAGCGAACACCTTCACCCTAAATGTGGTTTCATCTGGGCCCTAGACTCAGATCATCCAAGGCAAAACTTTCTGGTTCGCAACGGGTAGGTGATGGGCATTGCTGTGGCTGTGCATCTTGTAGTCAAGGGAAATTCTAGCAAATTAGGAGAGGGTGGGAATAATTTTGGTGATCAGTAAGGTATCAAGATTCCCCCACCATTCCCAATGTACGTATGCATTTGGGAGACTTACTTTAGCCCATTAAAATGAAAAGGCCCCCAGGAACGACACTATGTAAATGATCATCCATACTTCAGTGGGGGAAGTTTTCTCAGTGCCTTTCCTGAATTGGGTTTCTCTATGGAGAAGGGAGAGATCACGAGTCTGTGGACCCCTGTGAGTACAGGCAGAGCCCCAAAAGAGGGAAAGAAATAAAGAAGGGGAAGGTAGTAAACGGAATTCGGCAGCTTCCTAGTTTTATGTCTGGTTTGAGGATCACACTGAAGTACCATTGCTTTATGAGGGCCTTTGGGGACCAGAAATCCACAGTTTTTCCTTCCAGCAACCTAGCATTCTGGCCCGAGAATAGCCCCGCAGGCCAAGGCCACGGCCGCAGTAACTTCTCCATCAAGTCTTGCCTGTGCCCTCACAGCTAGTACAACAGAAGCTTCATTGTGGCAGAGTCCCAAGCCGTGGCAAGCTTAGGGGAGAGCTGTGCCCAGGAGTGTCCTCGTGGGCTTTCCCTGAAGAGTTCCAAGATAGCCAGGCATGGTGGCGCATGCCTGTAATCCCAGTACTTGGAGGCTAAGGCAACAGAATTGCTGTGAGTTTGAGGCCGGCCTGGGCTACATAAGTGAGTTCAAGGTCAACCTGAACTGCATAGTGAGACCCTGTCTCAAAAAAAAAAAAAAAAAGAGTTCCAAGGTATGGATACCAGGCTGAGGTAACTGACAGCCAGACAGTATCTGGCCCAGTCACTACCTCGGTCCACGGCATCTCCACAAAAGCAGGATGGCGGGGGAAGGATCCTTGCTCCATGTCTCCAAATTGAACTGGGTCGGGGCTGTGCCTCCGCTCTATTAATATCCCCCTAGCCCAGCCTGCTAGCCCCAAACCAGGATGCCAGGAGCTGTGAGTCAGCAGCTAAAAATAACGAATAATTGCAGTGAACCCCAATAAGCAGCTCCCCCTGGCCCTCCTCCCGCAAGGCCTCACGGAGGTTAAGTGCGGTATAGCTGTCCAGTCTTCCTGGGAAGAGAGTAAGGATTTGCGATGACAGGCCTAGGGCTGAGTTCCCAAGGCTAGTGGCTAGAAGCAAGGGCTGGAGCTGGGCGCTGGCGTTCTGGTGGGGAGTCTGGAAGCTAAGATTAGAGGACTGCAGCTGACAGCCTGGGAGCTGGAAGGCTGGGGCTGTGGGGGTGGAGAAGCTGGAGGTCGACGGGGTTGTGGTCGGAGGGGGAGAGGAGGGATGAAGAGGCGGCAGTGCTGCTAGCCTGGGGGAGGGACGGGGGGCAGACAAGAAGGGATGAGGGTGGTGGTACATGTTAAGAGGTGACAGCCCGGCAGTACCTGACAGGCTGGGGGCTCCAGAGCTGAGGTCGGTAGTCGGCCTGACTGAGGGGCGGGATCGGGAACGGTGAAAAGTAAGGAAATACAGCTTGAAAAGCAGTGTGTGAAGGAGACCTGCCCGGCGGCAGGCGGCGCGGACACCCAACAAGACCTGGACCCGGGCAGCAGCCGCGGCCCTGGCTCTCCGTGAGCCTCCAGCTTCCCCGCGTGCCTCGACCCCCGCACCAACTGCAGGCCAGGTATGTTGCTGTGTACGGCCGCTTGAGTGTCTCTGTGCATGAGTGTATATGTACATGGGTGTGCATGGAGGGGGGCGGGGCGTCAGAGCGAAGGGGGACCGGAAATGCCCAGAGGTATACTGGGAATTGTAGTTCTCGCGACTGCCCTACAACTCAAGATCAGGGTCTTGTCCCAGTTGGACAAGGGGAGAGGAATCGCGAACTGAGCCTCCTGGCTGATCAGCCCCTTAATTCGACTGGACTTTGTGTGGAGGCACGAACTAGGGAGAAGGTCAGTGTGATGGAGAACTTTAGGGTCAGCCACAGGGCCCTCTCCTGCCCTTGTTTTTTGCCTGAGCTCCCTTTTCCCCTTTCTACAGTTTCTTCATCCTATGCCAGATCCGCACTGGCCATTTCAACTACTTTGGCCATGGACACATAAGCAGCAAATACTCTGGGACACTTGCTCCTGTAGGGGAAGGCTGGGCCAGAAACCAGAACCTGCGCGCAGTCCCGACGAACGAAAACTTGTGGAAATCAGACCATGCCCCAGAGTCCGAAGTCAAGGACACAAGTCGCCAACAGGCACGGAAAACAGGTGACTCTCAGTACGTCACGGTGACGACAGATGAGGCCCTCCTGTTGAGGCGGGTGACCACAAGGTGGAGCTACAACGCAACCCTCCGCTGGGTGCCTGGGCCTCCAGGAACGCGCCCCTAGGCGGCTACTCTCCCCTTGGCCTCTGACAGTCCTTCACTGCAGCAGGTGGCTCTCCCACCTCCAACCCCCGAATCTCCCCATCATGACCCTTCAATGTCATGTCACATCCAACCCTAGATGGAAGGTGTCTCTTCCCAGCCCCAGCACCGAAAAGATTAGACTGTGATCAAATAGGAATTAAATTCATTGAGTACCAGATTAACAGACAAGATACAGAAACCATCCAATCTCAAAGAAAAGACTGTGCACAGCAAAAAGCCACCTGTAAACACAGAATTACATGACTAGATGGGCTCTTTATCTCCTACCCCTCGCTGAATTGCAAGGATCGTGAAAACAATGCGTGGAACGGGGACTGTGTCTCCATCACCTTGTAGTTCTCCCGAAAATGTCATTTTATCCGTCAGTGTTCCAAACTGTCCCACCCCTGACACACCCTGTGCCTTCTACGCAAGAATGTGTGCACACAGGTCGGAGACACTACCTTGCAATTGCCCTTTTACTTCCTCATTCTAGTTTCATTTTAGGAGAAATTTCTCATGACTCACTGTCTTCCCACCTGTCCCATGTCAAAACCCCAAGAGAAGCAGATTCCATGGCAGCATGAGGGCCTTCCCATCACCAGGCAGAGGGCCTTCTTTGTTCAAAACTCCCGTTGGTAAAGTTGGCCCCCACCAAAACTCACTACTGCAAGATATTCCATTTGGGCCCTTCTCCCTCTCTTGTAGGTAAGCGATGAAGACAGGCCTTAGATACTAGATGGGGAAAGGGCAGGGCAGGGTGTTTACTCTGTCATGAAATTGTTGATCCTGGTCAGCAGCACTGCTGTTTCGAGCCCTGGGGAGGTGAGCAGAGGGCGGGTCACACATGGAGTGAGCAAAGGGAAGGCTAGGAGGAGAAAGCGAGGCGAGGCGGGGCATTTCTTACCTGTTCTCTCTCTCTCCTTAGCACATCTCCTATAGGAAGAAAAGCTTTCCTTTGTGAGTCCAGCCAACTTCAAGCAGGACCTTCAAACCCCGGGATCCCACAGACTGCTTTTCCCAGGGTCAAACCAATATGGTGATATAAAGAAGGACCTAAAGCTTTTAAAGGAAACAAACAGCCCAAACCCCAGTCCCCAGCACATGTGAATGTGAAGCAGCTTTATCACTAAGGGCCTGGGGAAAGTAAGGAGCTAGAAAGCTGAGGCACAAAGTATTTACCCTTGGAGGAGGAAGGTGCATAACAGCAGCAGGATGGAGATGCAGTTAGTAACGATCCACGTCATTAAGTAGGTTTGAGGAGGCTGTGGGAATAGGAAAAGACCCCTGTCACTGGCCAGACTCCCAAAGCTAGTATTTGGGGGGAAATAAGGATGAAATGGACAGGGTTAAGGAGAATCAGAGACGGGAGAAGAAAAGGAATGGCAGTAGTCCAAGGGCCCTTACAATAAGCCAGATGGGGTAATGCATCTGCTGCAGCAGCTGGCAATCGTTGGTGGTGACCGAATCGACCCCTGCACACCAGAGCAGAGAGAAGAGCCAGGGCTTGTTCACTACAAATAGGTTCACTGAGACGTTATCTTGGTGCAGTGCCCTGTCAAAGTGAGAAAGAAATGGGACATCCAGAACTGTGGTACATGAAACATGGTGGCAGCCCCCTGCGTGTCCTTGAACCCACAGTCTCACTGCCAAGCTGGGTATCACTTTAACTCTGTATAGCAATCCCTTGACCAGAGGTGACTTTCTTTGCATAGCTGAACTCTTGTCTTCTGGTAGAATCCGTCCACAAGCCCCAACTTTGCCGTCTGGAGCCACACAAATGTGTCTCTTTGCTTTATTCCATGATAGCTCTTAGGAGGCTGAGGAACAGAGGCCATATCTCCTGGAGCTTTCTCTTCTCCAGGTCCAATGTGCCCAATTCCTTCAACCATTACTCTTGAGGCTTGGCTTATTATTTCCTTTACTGTGCAACTTTTCTAATCTGGCTTTGCCCCACTTTCTCAATGTTCCTTTAAAAATATGGAACCTGCTTTTCAACATGTTGTCCTGGATCAGCTTGGAGCGGTAGGCCAAAATGATCTCCTCCTGCCTCTGGGCGCTATGCCTGTGTTGGGCAGCCCAGAATCAGGTTAGGTCTGGTAATGTCATCTCCCACCGATGACTCACTGTGCCCATGTCCAAGCCCTGGGCTTTTCCACATGTGGTCCTGCTGATGCCGATGTCTCCTCTCTCGTGTTTGCATGATTGAAATTCTTTTGGGCCTCAAAGATAAGGCTTTACATCTATCTCTATTACATGTCACCTTGTTAGTTTTGACCCGTCACTGTAAAGTACTTAGGCCTTTCAGAGCCTTGACTGATCATCGGTGTATTCATTACTAATTCACATCTTTTGGAAACATGATTAGCAGTCCATTTTGACCAGGACAAAGTGAAGGTGATGGATTTTATGACACGTCTCCTTCCCTGGTGACAACTTGGGGAACGGTCCTTGAACGACTTACGCTAACTGAGCTGACATTCTGTGCACAATTTTTTATTCAACCACAGGGACACTATAAAAGACCTTGGCAACATCATGCTTCGAAATCCTTCATGTTTACCGATGGGTCAGCTTCTGCACCCCAGTTCACAGCTGAGACTCTCCCAGCTCTTCCTTAAATCCATCCTCTTTTACACTGCTCTCTCTCTTTCCCCCCACCCCCTCTCTTTCTCTGTCTGTTTTTTTAAGTGCTGTGGATGGAACCCAGGGCCTTGTGCATGCTGGGCAAATCCTCTACCACTGAGCTATGCCCCCAGCCCTACTCTGAGCTTTTTGGTGTGGAATAAAAGCTAAAATCCCTATGGCCAGTTTGGCCCCTGCCTACCTCTCTAGCTTCACCTCTCCCTTGCTCATTAGGCTATCATCCCTGCTCTCCTCATGGCTTCTTGCAACCATCAGGTCTCAGTTCAGATGTTACCTCTTTAGCCATTTTTCCTAATGTAGCTGCCCTGCCCCCTGAAATAGCCCCTCACTCTGAACCCCAATCACTACTACATCTCCCCGGTTTTTATTTTCATAATACTTAGCTCTACTCAATATGCAAGCATTTTAAGTGGTTTACTATCTAGCTCTTTCACTAATATGTAAATTATATGAAAGTGGGAGTCCTTGTATGCCTTATGTATGTTCGCACCCTCAAAGCCTGCAATACATATACCCAATACACAAGTGTTCAAAAAATGTTTGTCATATGAGTGAATGAATGAATGCGCTTTGCCTTCCCTGCATTGGTTCTTTCCTGCCATTAGGCCGTGGGATCACTCAGTCCCTTGCTCTGGCACTTACTTGATATCCAACAATGGCAGGTCTTGATAGGGGAGGTTGAGAAGCCAGGGCTTCTCAGTTCTGTTGCCTATCTGCTGTCCATATATCTGGCGCATTCTGGGTGCTCGTCGTTGGACATTAGCCCTGTCTTCATCCGGTAGCCAAAGGACCTGTGGTTCAGGGAAGAGGGACATGGAGATGAGGAAGACTGAGGGGTTCTAGGGACAGGAGCAGGGGTAGAGAGGTTTGGCAGAATGGGACTTGTGAGCTGGGTTGGGGTGGAGGTGGCACTGGGGCAAGAGGAAGCCTCAGAGTCCTCGAGGCTTTCAAAGGCATGGTGGGAAGGGGGACAAAATGGGGCTCTTAAAAAAAGGAGGGGGCTCTTGGGAGCCCTGGCAACATCACCATGGCTTGGGGCACCCTTGCACTCAGCACAGTCTCCAGTGTCTGGTTCACAAAAGTGTCATGGTAGGTGTGGTTTCGTGGGGGTCTGCGCAAGTCAAACATGACCGAAAGGTTGAGGGCTTCCGCTGCCTTCAGTAGCTCTTCTAATGCTGGTACTGTCTGGTTCTCCGCTTCTTTCCGATCAGGCTCTGACAGCTGCTTGGCTCCCCAGAAGGGTTTCCTCTATAAGAAAGGAAAATCATTTCACTACCACAAGAGGCCGCCAGACTTTGCCCCAGCCTTGCCATCTTCTCCTGTTTCCCTCACTTGGTGTCCAGCTTCTGCCTGAGTCTGGTCTTTCTTCCTCTAAACTGTGGCTCTCTTCCCGACCATCTAATACTGTACTCTACTCTGTGACCTCAGTCCCCTACCCTTCTAGTTTCATTTCTTTCTCCCAGTACCCTTTCTCTTCCGTCTCATGGGATCCTAACCCGTCTCATGGTTTCTTTCCAGGTCATCAGCTCCTTTCTGGCTGCACCTGCATCCATAGCTTGCAATACTTTGTCACAGTGCTCCCAGCTCCCTTCCTGCCCCACCTGCCCTACAACTCCTCAACTTTGGTTCATATCTGCCTTCTCTACCCCTAGAACTGAGGGCTGAACAGTCCACAGGGACAGCCGGCATTGTATTTTTGTTTTTTGCTCAGTGCTGCTTAACAAAATGTTTGCCTGCTGTTGATCTGCTCCCTCTTGCATTCCCCTTAGTGGCTGTTCCAAGCTTGTGGCATTCTGCTCTCCTTTCCTTTGTATCAATGAATGACCTCATCTTCTAATCCCTGACAGGGATAAAGCTAACACTATTGAGTACCTATTGTAGTATTTACTGTGTGCAAGACAATGCTCTAAGCACTCTGTATTAACTGACTTATTTGTCCCAATAATCCTACAAGGTAGGTATTGTTACTATTCCGATTGTACAATGAGGAAACCGAGGCACAGATTGACTAAGAAGTGTTGCCCACGGTCATATAGTTAGCAAATGGTGGAGCCGTGATTCAAACCCAGATATCCTTAGCTCTTAATCACTCTGACATGCCATCGTATGTAGCTAAATTTTTATGCTGATTAATTGTGGCATTGGAGATTAAACCCAGGGCCTTCACACTTCAGCCCTTTTCACTTTTCATTTTGAGGCAGGGTCTCACTAAGTTGCCCAGGCTGGGCTCAAGTTTGTGATCCTCCTGCCTCAATCTCCCAGTGTGCTGGGCTTACAGGTGTGCACCACCTTGCTTACAGTTAAATTTTTTAAAAAGCAAATTGTTAGAATCTGTGTCATAACCCTATTTATGCAAAATAAAGTGTGTATACATATATAGTTTTAATTTTTCATAAATACATTATATATTTTAAAGTAATACATATGTAATACATATGTTTAACATATAAATCTATTATATAATATTTAGAGATAAACTATATAAATTTACATAAATGTGTGTGCATGTCTCCACCCGTGATTGTTCCAGACAAGGGAGACTTTAATTTCTACTTTATTTCTTGGATGGTTTCTTTTCTTCTTCTTTTTTTTTTTTATAATGAATGGGTATTACCTTTGTAATCAAGAAAAGAAGAAATAAAAAAATAAAGTATCCTTTTAAATGTTTTTTCAGCACCTACAGGATTGAAGTCCACATTTCTGGATCTGGCATTCAAAGATATGCCCCTCCCTTTTCGAGACAGGTTCTCGCTGTGTAGTTCAGGCTGCCCTTGAACTCACTAAGAAGCCCAGGTAGGCCTTGAACTCATGGTGATGCTCCTGCCTCAGCCTCCCGAGTGCTGGGGTTACAGATGTGCACCACCACGCCTGGCTTTCAAAGCCCTTTAGCACCACGTCTCTTGTGTCTTACCACCTCCATGAGTTGTCTCTCCCAATTATATTGAACCCTTCTTGTTCTCTGGAGACACAGTTTTTCGTACTTGGCTCTTATACATGCTCTTCCCTCTTACTAGAATTCCCTGTCCCATGGATTGGGGGTGTAGCTCAGCAGCACAGCCCTATGTCTAGCATTGTGAGGGTCTGGATTCCATCCCCAGCACTGCAAAAAGAATTCCCAGCCCCTCCTTTATCCCTTCTATTTTATTTTATTTTATTTGGTACTGGGGATTGAACCCTGTATCACTCACTTATATCCCCAGAACTTTTTACTTTTGACAGAGGGTCTGGCTAAGTTGCCCAGGCAAATCTCAACTTGTGAACTTCCTGCCTCAGCTGTGGCATTACAAGTGTGTGCCACCACGCCTGGCCTGCTTTGTCCATCTCAGGAGCAAACTCATAGCACAGGCTGCTATGCTTCCCCTCCGGTCAAATCCACGCCTGATCACTCCCACATCTATGGCCAAAGAGCGGAGTGTGATTTTTCTCTCTCTTCTCTGTTCAAGAAAAGTATTTTTTATTGCTCTAGATTTCCCATTCTAATCGCCTGTTGATGAGGCTTTCTTCCTTACTACTGTAGGTGGGGTGACTTGAAGGCAGAGGCTGCTCCTGGCCAGCACAAGGCTCAGCAAGTGCTTATCAGCAGAATGAACTCTGCCCTCTCTGAGTGTCCCTGAGTGACTGTCTTTTCCCAGGTGCCATTCTCACCTGTAGGAACCAGGCCCCAGCATTGAGTCTCTTCAGTTCTGCCCAGGAGAAGTCACTGCTGTGGGCTGTGATCCGGGATGGGAACACAGAGGCTACATTCGTGGTTCTGGTTAGCTGCTCATCATGCATGAGGAAGGGGACCCCATCGGAGCTGAGGGCACAGTGTGTGTCAGAGGGCCAAGTCTAGGGCTGGCCATCTTCTCTTGAGCTCTTCCACCGTGTCCTTCAGCTCCCCAGATCCCCTGAGCCCCACCCTCATCACCTGACCATCACATCGGTCTCAAACACAGCAGCTCCGCATTCGGCCGTCTTCCGCAGGGACATCAGTGTGTTCTCAGGGGCCAGCTGAGAAAGGGAATTGGTGAGGAGGTAGCAGGGAAGGGCAGGAGTCTGGGTATCCACAGACCTGGCCGCCGCAGCCGGAAGAGCAGACCCTCCCCACTCCCCCAGCATTCTGCCCGCCACTCACCATGGGGGCCCCTCGGTGTCCTATCAGCCCAGGCTTGGGAGGTAAGTCTCTGGGTTCCATGATACAGGGTGAAGAGATGCATAGAGGGGCCAAGTAGATGACAAGGACAACTCCAAAAAAGAGGAACAGTAGCAAAATCTTGGGACCTGTGGGGAGTGGGGGACAGTCTTTGCGGAAAGGGCAACGGAGGCGCTCTAGGGGTGGAAAGTAGGCTGCAGGTGCTGGAAACTGGGTGGGTGGAGGGAGCACTGATGACCACTGAAGGAGAGTGGGGGTGGAGTCAGCACCTCTCGGGTGGATGCGGTAGAAGGTATCAGCCACAGGCCAGGCCAGGATGGTGATTCCAGCGACTGCTCCAATATGCAGGACTGGAGCTGTGGCCTGTGGATGAGAGCAGGCGAGGAAGGTTTTTCTTCCTAGCGCCCCTCCCCTCCTTGGGGCCCGACCTTTGGAATTGCCAAGCTACTTGCTGTCTTGGGGGACCAGGGAGCCAAATATAATCTGGGATCAGCCCCAGGCCAAGGCTCCTACCTAGGCACTGGAGATGGGCCACTCACCTGCAGTGACAGGCGTAAACTATCCCACTCCTGCCGCCATTGGATGTCCAGTCCCACAAGGCCGGTGACCACAAGAAGCAAAATAAGGAGCAGTAGCACCTGGCGGGGGCAGGGATGAATGGGCCCCTCTTGGTCAATTTAAACTCATGGTTACCTGGGGTTCCTCTACTGAGACAGTATCTTTCTTTTCCTAGACACATCCACTTCCCTTCTTTCAACAAATATTTCCTGGGCTTCAGGTGCGGGGCTCAAGCCCGGGGATCAAACGGTCCTCCGCGAATGGCCAGCCAAGCGCCAGGCCCTGCCACCCCTCTCACTCATTGCCGCCCCTGCCCTACCTTGTGGAGACCGTGGAGATGCAGCGGCTGTCCACAGAGATGCAGGAGCAGGGCCAGGAGCTAGGGGCAGGGGGGGGCGGGACTTAGGAGGTACCAGGCAGGGGACAAGCTCATTGAGGTGGGCTTTGCAGGTTGGCACTTCTTTCCCTCCCACCCAACCATCAGCTCCCTCCCCTCAATGGCCAGAATGGGCACAAGAAGGTAGAGCCAAACAGAAAAAAAAAAGGGTAAAATGGGGGTTGGGCCAGCCGTCCCTGGACCCACCAACAGCAGCGATGCGTATGTGACCAGTAGAGAGGCGACCAGCAGTAATGCTATGGACCAGTCCATCCAGTGGCCCCAGTGGCGGAATAGGAATCTGTGGGAGGGGAGCAGGAGATGTTCAGAGGGGGAAGGGGCTGCCAGAGTGGCCTGGTGGAGTCGGGCGGGTTGACTCCGAGAGGAGGAAGAGAAGGGAGTTGGGGGAAAGCACTTCATCGGGCCAGGGGCCCCAGGGTTGGGCAGATTTCAGGGAGGGATTTTCTAGGGCAGTTGGGTAGCAGGACAACCAGGCTTGAGAGCTTAGGCACGGGTTGACCGTGGGGGTTGAGCTCCCAGGGGCCCAGGATGGGGCATAGGTTGACGAATATGCTGAGGAAGAGGGTTTGTCCATGACACACTCATTGAAGTTGTGCAGGTCATTGAGAAGGATGAGCCCGATGTACAACCAGGTCAGGGACAGGAGGAAGGTGAGGAAGAGCAGGCCAAGCCAGATACAGTCGCACTGCAAAGGAGCAGGAGAGAAGCTCGCAGCCGATCCCCATCTCATGCCACATCCCCGAAGGGTGGCAGTGCCAGGGTGCCTCCCGCCCTGCTCTTCCTGTCTGCTCCCACCGCTTTCCATACTTCAGGGAGATTTTCCCCTGGGGAGAGAAAATCCCTTCCTCCCAGCTGCCTGTGAGCACAATCGCCTTCCTTATCACCTCCAGTCATCCTGTCTTCTGACTTCCAGCCTCCCCCATCCAGCCCCACTCCACCTTGCTGGTTTGCATCCTCTCTTTGGGGCAGGTCCTCCAGTGGCAGCTATACAGGCAGTGGAGGCAGCGGGCCCAGGCGGAGCAGCAGCCAGGCGACTCAGCCATGGTGAGGCCTAGCGGAAAGGACACTTGGCCATCTCCTAGGGACCTTGGAAGAGGGCCAGTCCCAGCCTCCCTCCCAGTGTATCTGAGGAGCCCAAGGGAAGGGCAGAGGCCTGGGGCCACTGCTCAGTAGCAGAGGGAGGTCACCAGGCAGGCCAGGCCCAGAGCGCTGGATTGGGTGAGGCGAAAGGCCCTGGCTCCAAGCCTGGCAAAGAGGGGCAATGTCTGGGGTCTTTCTTTCCATTTATCCTTGGTACGTGGAAAGTCAGTGGGACATGCAGGCAGAATGCATACTCACTCTCTCCAGCTCCTCCTTTTTTAACAACATCTAGCCATGGGAATGGAGTGCTTGCCCAGGGTGGAGACTCAGGAGAAACTGCCCAGGGTGGGGCAAACTCAGTTCAGCAAGTTGAGGCAGATTTGGCCAAGCTTGAGGCAGCCCCATGCTGAGTTCTACCCCAGGAAGTAGGAGTAACCTGAAGCAGAGGTTCTAGCTCTGACCTGGGGCAAAGGGAGGCCCAGCTAGTTGGCCAGTTGCTATGGATACAGAGATTATATAAACCACAAAGCCCTGACTAAAGAGTCTCTATGTCCACTTTTCATAGAGCAGAGGACACTGCCAATAAGAGGAAGATTTGAGGAGATAATTTCTAGACTTCTAAAGGAAACTTTTCCCTAAAAGCACACATCTGGAATATCCAAGCGCTCCTGTCTGGTCCCGTCCCACCCAGTCATCCCCCACTCCACCAGAAACCAGTCCTCGCCTTTCACCTTGCAGGGGCCCCACCCTCTAAGCTAGCTTTGGTGAAAGTACCACACACACAGGACAAAGGTGCATGCGTATGGGGGCATGCTTATCCTGGAGCTGGGCTTCCCTGTGCCTTATGCTTTTGGCTGTGGGTGAGACCAAACTGACCTCCAAGCTGGGCTGGATGTGCGATTGACTCCGCGAGTGGTGTGTGGTTTGTGTCAGCATATGTATCTGTGTGTGCACAAGTGGCTGTCAGTACAAATGGGTTTCCAGATGACACGATGTAAAGAAGTCCCCGATACACCCAAAGTGCGTGTGTGTGTGTGTGTGTGTGTGTGGTCTAAGAGACAGGACCACTTGCTATCCAGGTTCCCTAGAGGTTGTGCAGTCTCAGGGGGTACACAGTGGCCGGACGCTGCAAAGAGGAAGGGGACAGCTGCTCCTGAATCTGCCCCCCTTACGCTATGCTTGCCTTGGGAAAGGAGGGCTGGGGTATGGGGTGGAGGCATAGAGGGCCAGAGTGGGGGAAGGAAACCTCTCCCCCGTCCCTGAGCCCCTTCCCAGGAGAAAGTTCAGCCAAAGGCAGGCCCCTGTCTCTGCCCATTCTGAGGCTGGGGTGCAGTGGCCTGTTCTGAACCCCAGTCCACACACCTCAGCCTCCCTTGGGGTCCCGCCCCTGCACTCCAGGCTGCCTTCCAGAGTCCCACCTCCCTCCAGGATCTCAGCAGCTTGCAGATCCCAAGGAGGGGACCTGACAGGGGTGCTGCCCAAGCCCTGGGCCTGACCCCTGCCTCCCTGCCGGGCAGAGCCGGTCCTCACCCCCCACCTCCCGCCTGTAGCCCTCAGCCTCCGAGCCCTCACACCTTTTCTCAGCCGCAGCTCTGCTCTCGCTCTGCTCTGCTCTCTGCTCTGTACTGCTTTACAGCTTCTCTCCGAGTTGTGTGCCTCCTCCCTCTTCTAGTCCTTGGCTCAGCCCCACCGGTCAAACAGGTGGCACTATTGCCACCTACAGGACAGTGTGTGGGACCTCTCTGAAGGCCTGCAGCTGCTCTATGGCCTGGGCCAGCCAGGGTGGGAGGGAGAGCAGATCTGCTCCTTTACTCATTTGCGGTCAGGGGGCTTGAGGGTGAGGAATTCCTTTGTGCAGCCTTTCCCGTCCCTCTGTCCCTCCCTGTTCCCCTCCCCGTCACTGCTGGGGCTTTGTGCTGCTCAGGGAGGGAGGGCTGAGGGCACAGGGGGCGGGTGGGAAGCTGGGGGAGGTGATCTGCAAGTTGGCAGTGAGAAGGGGCCCTGCCAGCCCCCTGGAAAGGCCTACATGCGAGCGAGGAAGTCTAACGTCTAGTGTCCAGCTTGCTGGGACTACAGCCTCCATTAGCCTCCTTTCCTCCTGGGCTCCTACTTCCACTGCTGCAAGGCGCATCTGTAAGAGACATAGTTGTAAAGCTACTTCGTGCACTCTGGGCAGCCGGCTGCCCCGTTTCTGGGCCAGGGGTCCCCACAGACCTTGTGGATCCCAGGTGACACTTAGCAGGCCTCCTCTTCCATCACTTGACACGAGAGATGTTCGTACAGGACACACTGAGACGTGCATCGTCGCCACTTTGTCCTCAGAACATCTTTAGTTCCTTCTTAAGAATCGCCTGAAGAGTGTATATATGCTGGGGCCACAGGCTTTTGGAAGATGAACACATACAAAAGATGCTATTACTGTAGCATCAGGGGAGAGGGCAGCCTCGCAACTGCGGTCAGCTTCCGGTAAGGCACGGGCTGCGGACTGGGGGCTGCCTTGATCGGAGTCCCTCTCTGAATTTCGGCTGATGCAGTCCCTCAGGCCTGGAGGCTAACAAGCAGTTGGTGGGAAAGGATATTCTCTCCTGGGTTAAGCCTGCCCCTCCCCCCACAGGCACTGGCTTTCCAACAGCGAGAAGGAAGACTAGCTCTCTTCTGCCAAGAGCCCGCCCCCTCCCTCTCTGCCTTCCCATTGTATCAGAAGGCTCTAGCTGGCAACCACAGAGGCTCCCTTGGAATTAAAATGCAAAGAGAAGCCGGGTTGCCTGTTGGCAGGAGGCCAAGGAGGGTCAGCAGGTCACCCAGTCCTCTGCCAGCTTTATTCTAAGCAGGTTGCAGTTCAGTTTCCTTCGCTTGGTCTAGGGTAGATTTAAGTTCTGGCTTTCCAGTTCTTGGGGCTAGTTTGGAAAGTTTTGTAGGGGAAGGGGGCTGGGATTTACTATGCATAGCTATAGTTCCCAGGGCTTGGGAACTCTCAGAAGGCTACACGTGCATTCGGCAGCCTGCGTATGGCATTCCAGGGCTGGCCCCCTTCGAGCTTTAAGCAGAGATGGAGAGCCTGATGTACAGCAGCGAGTAACCCCTGCCTCTTCTTTCCCCTTTCCAAGGAGACAGCAAGGAGCCAGTGCTTCTCTGCCCTGGAACTGAACAGTAGTGTGGGCCCAGGCCCATCCCATGTCCATAACGCAGGCAGCAGGGCATTAGACATGAGACCTGGGTTCAAGCCCTAGCTCTGTACTTACTAATTTTGTGACTACATAAATTACCTAACTTCTTGGTACCTCAGTGCTATACCTTGGATACTTAAATGAACCCCCAAGGCCCATGTATTTAAGGCTCAGTCCCCAGCCCATGGCACTATTTGAGAGATTGTGGGACCTTTAAGAGGTAGGCCCTAGTGGAAGGTCTTCAGTTCACTGGGCGTGCACCCTTGCCAGGGGCAGTACACCCTTCCCCCTTCCTTGCATCTCAGACTTGAAATGAGGAGTTTTGCTCCTGCACTTTCTTTCGTTGTGATGTGCTGTCTCACCCCATAGGTCCAAAAGCAACAGAGCCAGGGCGAATCGTGGACTGGTGCTTCCAAAACTGCGGATTAAAATCAATCTATTCTCTTTGTAAGTGATCTCAGGTATAGTGATGTGAAGCCCACTGATACATTCTGTTTCCTCATCTGCAAAATGAGGGCCTGCCTATCCCGAGCATTTCTTTTGGTGCAGGATAAGAAAATTATGGCAGGAACATTGAGCTGCTTAGTAAATGTGGGTCCTTTCTCCCAAGTCTGGAGGTCAGACAGGTGCTAGAGTGGTAAGGGCCCTGGCTTTGCTAACATTGTTTTGATTTCCTAGAGTAGCAAAGCAACACAGATACAACAATATGCCCTCCACTATCCTCTGGGAAATAGGAGGCAGGCTGGGGATGGAGCTCAGTGGTAGAGCATGTGCTTATTAGCATACACAAGGCCCAGGATTCCATCCTCAAAGCACCTTTCCCCCCAGAGGCAGGAAGGGCCAGGATGTTGTGATGAATCTCAATAGCTTTCTCAGAGGCTTAAGAACACAAGTTAGAGTTTTATTTCTTCTCTAGTGCAGAAGGATCTTCTTGAACAGTACACAGGTTAAGCTTTATTTATTTAACATTTTAAAATACTTCATTTACTTTACTACCATGGCAGACGAGTGAAAGTCCTATTAAAAGACTTAATATCCAGAGTCAATTCAGGAAAGATCCCGGCTCCATTCCTGAGGCGAGGTGAAGGATCGGAGCCAGCCTTCCGTGCTGGGCCAGGCTCCTGTGTAAGCTGAGATGACACAGAGGGAAGCCTCGGCCTCATCTCCATCAGAAGTCACACAACTGCTCAGAAGCAAGAAAGAGCTAGATGCTACTGGGGGTTGGTTCCTCAGGAGTCACTAGGGGAAGGTCAGTTGGTTTTGTCTTCAGCAGGTGGCTTAACACCTTCTGGAGAAGAAAGAGTAAAAGGAGTCTGGGACAAAAGACAGAAGACAGACGGCCAACATTCAAAAAAGGGTTCCTTCCTTTTAATAACATTCTGTCCCCTCAACAGCAAGACACCTGAAATCCAGAGTAGTCTTTAAAAACTTCTCCTGGCTGCAGCGTGAATATGTCTCCCAAGGTAGACGAGGGTTCCAGATGATGGCACCAACTCAGTGGGGCTCTTCTTTGATAGGGGAGCAGCCAGAGAAGAAGCTGGTATTGCTGGCCAGGGCCCGCTTCTTTTTCTTCCCTGGAGCCTTATTTTCTTGGGATTCTGTTGCAGTATATTTTAATTCTGGTAGGTCAAAGGAGGAGAGAGCTGGAGCAGTCTTCTTTGATAGCACCTGCTCCACGTCATACATCTCTTTCAAGATCTAGGAAGGACAGACAGGTATGAATAGACTCTGGATAGGGGCAGAAGCTCAGCCCAGCTGAGCCACGACAAATGTTCAGGACACTCTCAGTAGTATGAGGTATCCCTAAGATTACTGTATTAAAAGAAACACTCTAGCTGGGTATGGTGGTATATGCCTATAATCCTAGCTATTTAGGCGGCTGAGGCAGGAGAACTGCAAAATTGGAGGTCATCTCGGGAACCTTAGCAAGATTATGTCTCAAAATGAAACTTAAAAAAAGCCTGGGGGTATAGTTCAGTGGTGGAACATTCTCCTTGTGTGCATGAGGTCCTGGGTTCTATCCCCAGGACTGCAAAAAACCAAACCAAACCAAACCAAACCAAAAAAATCCCCTGCTCTAGTCTATTCCCAATTCCCAGGTCTCAGCAAGCTGATTATACCTTTCTCTCACCAGGCTCTGGCATTTCGTTAATGCAGAGAAGGGTGCTAACATAGTTTCCTAGTGCCTGCCTTTTAGCTCCCATACCTTGCTATTGGGAGTGGCACAGACAGGGTTGAAGAAGCTCATTCCTGGTGTTACTTCTGTAGGATCTTCTAGTTTGAAGGAGCCTTCAGAATCCTGAGTCCGCTCAGTAGTGCCCAAGCTATCCTGAAAACCAAGCAGACAGGCATATTCTGCATTTGGCTCCCAGGGTTACAAAATCAGTGTGCTCCTTTCTAACCAGGGAGATCCCAGGTCTGAGTGCCTGACCAGTCAGTCTGAGTAAGTATTAGGGACTGTGACCAGGGAGGTCATTGGGCTCAACATGCTCTCTCCTTAAAGGAATGAAGGAATGCTTGGAAGCAGCTTTTGAAGGCAAAGGTCTGAAGATAGCAGCACAGGACATATCACGAGGCAAGGTTCAAAGCAAGGCAAGCCCTGCTTATTTCTTTGATTAAACCTCCCCTCTCTACAGTCTGAACTAGCACTCCTATAGGGTGTTGCCTGTATTAGTATTCCTTTCAGATATGGAAACTGAGTCCAAATGAAAGAATTCCCTTAGGTAATAAGGTGACTCTGTGTAGAGCTCAGATTGGAATTATGGTCTGTTGTCATGGAAACAGAGCTGTATTAAGAGTCAGAAGCCTGAAGTCTAATCTTAGTTTTCATGACCAGCTGTGGAATATCAAGTGCATCACTGAAACTTATCTCTGGGCTTTAGTTTGCCTCTCTCTAAAATGAAGGCACTGGACTAGACCAGTGGTTTTCACAACCGAAATGCTCAGAGGAAGCTCAATATGGAAGCAATGAGCCAGCTGCTTTGGCTAAAGGGGATGGAATCGATGCAGGTCATGCCCTTCTCCAGGTCCTTCCCCTGTAGCAAGCAACTACAGGCCTCTAGAACCCAAAATGAAAAACCTTGGGAACTGGGAACCCTTAAGGTCCCTGCTACTTCTGCGACCCTTAGTCTGATCTCTGCTTTGACACTTTGGTCCTCTGGTACTTATGTCAGAAATCTTTTTAACAGAAAATCCACGGCAAAACTGTCTGCATGTAGATGTTTAAGAAATGCACGATGAATGCGCATTACATGGAGTCTGCTGGAATTGTTGTACCTCACATAGAACAGTAGCAATGTGCTGTTGCCGTGGACAGGCAGGTATACGGCAAGTACAGAAAGCTGACCTGCTCGGTGCCGCTCTTTTCTGGGCACACCTTGTTTCCCCGAGTTAGTGTTCTTGTATTCTCAAGAACAATACAAGGAAGACGGCCACAGTTAACTAGGTTCGCAGCAGCGGCTAGTAGAAAGACCTGGCTCCTGTGGGTCTTTTCCTAGACTTTGGGAATAGCTGGTTCCCTGGAGAGGGTCTAATATCTAACGTCTCAAGATATCAGAGGATTAACTTCCTTCCTGGAAGCTGCCACCTCAGCATATGGCTCATTCAGTTCCAGCTAAGCCTCTGGACTAGTCTGATCCTGTGCGCCTATGTCTGTAAACGCCTGATTTCCCGTTCTTGTTCCAGACTCAGAAATGGGAACTTTATCTCCAAGACTGGGGGTGGGGATCTGAATACCTGGGGATCTCCTGGAATGGGTGACAGGCGAGCAGCAAGGAAGAAGGACTGAGAATAAAGTGTCTCTTTTCCTGGGTGCAGAGGGAAAGTGAAAAAGTAGGAAGAGGTGCACAGGAGATTCTAGGTTTCAGGGTGCAAGACAGAAGAAAAGGGTAGTGACTAGTGCGAGGTCTGAGGGAGTGGTGCGGGGAACATCACCAATCCTACCTGGCCTTGCTGGCGGTTCCGACACTTTGTGGGGTCACAGCTGCAAGCCACCCCACAATCCGACTTTTGCTTCCTGCACCCACACTGTTTGTTCCCACACCAGCCCTTGCAGGAGCACTGCAAAACAGGATTATGGGAAGACACATTATTGAAAGGAGAAGAATACTACTTTAAAATGCCCTCCCTTCACTTGCAAGCTTGTCTAGAAAAAATGGAAAATACCATCAACCTTATCAAATGTCAGTGTCCTCAGTCCTCTCCTTTTGTGAAACACTGGTCACCAAGAATTATCCCAGGTTTATTAGGCATGTCATGGCAGATAAACACTTGTTGTGGTGGTATAGAACAGTCACTACACACATGATAGATGCAGTCACACAAATGCCCTGTGCATGAGCTATGACTCCATCCCATTCTCTCTCATGCCACTTTCTTTTTCTGGCAGAATACTTGAAGGACAGATGAGAGGGATGTTATAATAATGCAAGGCAAGTCGGGCATAGTGGCGCACGCCTGCAATTCCAGCACTCAGGAGGCTGAGGCAGGAGGATCACTGCAAGTTCAAGGCCAGCCTGAGCTATAAAGTGAGCTCATGGCCAGCTTGAACTGCATAGTGAGACTCTGTCTCAAAAAGACAAAAAACAAAGCCAAAAAAATAATGCAAGGCAACAGACAAAGATTTTTATGGCAGTTTTATGAGCAAAGTGAAGAACAGTGAGTTGGGTGGTAGCACAGCTAGGTATATTTAAGGACTTAGCACAGCTGCTTGATGTTTTCCTTTAGATTGCGTAACTGTACTTTCATCCACCTCACATTTCTACCTTTTGTAGACTGTCAGTCTGGGCTCTGTCCTCACTCAACACTACAATCACCCAACATTTTAATAGGCTACTGGGGATATGAAATAGTCATTTATATTTGGTAGCCCTTTACAGTTTTCAGAGTAGTTTCATACA